AAATGCCTTTTGGTTAAACTGTCAGCAAGGAATTTGCATTTGCACTGTTAATTTTTAGATAACTTTAATGCACATAAAAAACAGCTGCTTGTTTAAGTGAAAATACATTGATTTTTTTTTTGCACTACTAAAGTTGCGGAGTTGTAAAGTATTTTGTCTCACATCAATTATATCGTCAGTTATATCATTATCGCAAATTTTCAAATATATATATATATCGTGATAAATATTTTTGGCCATACTGCGCTGCCCTAATAACAATTTATGAGAATTTCATACTGGCAAATTAGAATTGTTGCTGCACTACGTGAGGTAACGTAAGTGCAGCTTGGTAAGTAAGAGTGGAGTACTTTGTTTGGTACTTTAACCACCCAGTGTTACAGTTAAATACTTCTTAATACTTGTTTTGTTATTTACTTCTTTTTTGCTCAACAGGATCCAAAACAACTAAATGGCACCATAAAACACATCCATCAAAATGACCATAAGGTGAAATCAACGTGTCTGTGCAACAAAATCTGAATTTCACTCAGGACCATCGAAATCACAAGGTGATCATATATTTTTATAAATTACTGGGAATGGAAATACCAGAGCAGTATGGCTTTGTTGAGGAATCAAATAACTCTTCTTCCTCTAACAGGCAACTGGAATGTTGGAAAGCCACATCAGCAAGTCTCAGCCAAAATAGAGCAGCGTCAGACAGCAATGGCATGGATTACCCATGAAAGTTTTCCCCATGAACACAGCATGAAAGGTGGAGATGAGGTGGAGGTGGGCTGCAAAGCAGCGTGCCAAGAAACGGCAACACTGAACGAGCTAATGCAGCTTAGAAAGCCCAGCCCAGAGATCTGTAACACTAAGATCAGCTGATCTGCTGGGATGGCGGCCGAGTATGACTTCCTGGCCTGCCCAAAATAACCCTATGCCCGACAGAATTGCATCAAATCAAATCAAATTCAAATTTTATTTGTCACGTACACAGTCATACACAGTACGATATGTAGTGAAATGCTTGGACAACTGCTCGTGACCTAAAGAAAACAAAAAAGGAAAGGCTATGAATAAGATAGGAAATAAATATGAAAAATTAAAAAGGGTAAATTTAACTAGGAAGGACTAAAATATAAATTAAGGTTAAAAATGAAATAACTGTACAACACAAATTAGAATGAAGGGTAAATTTAACTGGGAGAATAAGATAAAATATATAAATTAAAGTTGAAAATAAAATAACTGTACAACAAAATACACAATACACAATATAGAACTATATAAGAATGTATGAAGAAATCTAAATATATACACAAGAAGTAATCAGCATTGAAGAGTTAAACGGTCATCATTTTCAACGTCATGCCATCACTTAAAAAACTCAGTAGGATACAATGATGGTTCCTAACAAGCTAAAAGAGCAATATTTTTAAGTGCTTCTCATAGAGTTCAACTCTTCAGTGCAAGTCACGTCCAGGACCATGGAGCAATCAGCACAGGAGATAAAAATGATCAAGATCCCTGCAGGTAATACCTGCTAGATGTGTTTGCGCTCACAAAACGCAGGCCTACACAGAGACAACAAAAATAAATCAGTGTGGTGGACCAGTTTTTGGTGCCAGCTGCCAGCCCAAAGAGCCAGAGGCAGACAGGACAGGTGCAGAAACAGAAGAAAGCTGTTGGATAATGTGTTGACTATTGATGTCAACTACTACAAATTAAAAAGTGACAGAAAAAACAGCTAACACGATGTAAACCTTTCTTGTGTATAAATTCAAATGGCGACACAAAAATCCAAAGATGATAATTGAACGGAGCGATGTCATCAACAACAAGAGGCAATTATCCTCTTTCAGTCACATTAAGACCTCAGCAAAGACTGAATAATTCATTCCAACGTGAAATCACTGGCGAACTTTTGTTCAGCTCATGCAGGAGGCTGCCGGGCTGCAGATGAAATATTGCACATCCGCTGATATTTAGGATTGATGGAAATGTGTTAAGCACAGCTGTGCTCAGATTATTAGGAGACAGAGGAAGTCATGTTCCCAAAGGAGTCACAAACCTCACATCTTCCTCTTATTCTCATTATAGGATTTTTTATTTCGATCACTTAAAAGGTACCGGTTAATTCAAACATTCATTCCACGCCTTCATTCACATTTTTGTCTAAGGATATTTTAAGGATAAAGCTGGAGGTGACATTAAAGCTGTTTATCAACATTCGGTCTGGCTTGCAAAAGGAAGGCTGCAGCATCAAGGTCCATGAAGCATGAATGCAAGCGGTGAAATATACCGTGCACACACATGACTGGATATAGATACTTTTTTCAATATTTTAGTTCATGCTCTTTGCATCTTATCTTTTCGGGAGGGGAAAGCTTTTATCATATACTGTGAATTCTTGAACCTCTTGGCACCATCTGCTAAAGTCTGACAGTAACAAGTGTTGCAGAAATTCAATCTGCAGAGAAGCCTAAGGGTCAGGCATCTGTTGCTACTCTGATGTAATAGTGCATGGTGGAGGTCAGAAAGCTGCTGTCCTTCTGTTTAGTGAAAAAGCTTTAGCACGCTGTTATGGCAGACATGTAAAAGGATGAACCATTTAGAGCTGTAAGCAGTTAAAAACAAGTGGTCAGTTTGACCGTCTGCCCGTGAGCATGTTTGCCTTCTCTGTGACTGATTTTCCTTTTAGCAGCAGCCCTCACCTGTCTGCTTTGAGTCCTTCACACCGTGCCTTCGGATGACTTTAATTCATTTTTTTCATCATTCCTGCACACGTGCATGTTTATGCTGAAAACCACAGGAATTAAATAAAAATGTAGCAGCATTTCCGCTCCATGCAATTATAAATGGAAATTTTATGTGAGCTGAGGCCCTTGCAAAAACCTTCGCAAACAGTCAGCGTAGTGAAGGGGGGGGGGAAGTGAATTAAAACCAAATATCATTAAAGCCCGGCACACCACCTGGGCCCCGGACACTTTTCCTCAACGCTGTCCAAGGCTTCTCCAGGTCTGGTGATTCACACCAGAGGGAGCGGGACAGATGGTGGTAAACACATCAAGCTGTTTGGCAAACGGCAGTCCCAAATATCTCCTCCTCTGCATTTGGGAAGGGTCACTTCGAGACTCGGGAGTGTTGCACAACCCTCATAACTGTCTAACGCTGCAGAGACAGGAACTATACGTGCTGTCGTGACTGCCTAATTCTGCTGTTTTGTTGTCCTCCGTGGCTTTGTGCTAATGAATAATTTGATGTTTTTGTTGCTCTATCGCAGCCAACATTTGTCGAACAGCGTTTTGAAGCTGCACGGTTCATCATTTTCATCTTAAACATGAAATCATTTCATCAGAGAAAATAATAAACATTAACATCAGTCAGTTTGGGGTTTTTTGATTTATTTTTCGCGGGGAGCTTTTCAAGCGTGAAGACTTTATAGTGCTGCCAAACTGATGAACTGCACGCAGGAAAAATTTACCATGGCAGGCCTGCAGTTGAGCCTCACCGAAAAAGATTTCTGCACATGATTCACTGAATGATTCCAAAAGCTTCCAAAGCTTGATAAACAAAACCATAACAGTGAGGGCTTCGTCCAGATAAAGCTGCTTGGTCTTTCTTATCTCCTGCCATGGCATCTGAAGAATTTCTTCTCATTGTTTCTGAGACAAAGAGCCAGAATTTGTTTTAAAAATATCTTTTAAAGAAAGAACATACCAGTGGTTGAGCATGTTTAAACCAAGCTTTCCCTTCAGAGATACTGTAGCTTCAAATAAAGAAATACCCAAGTGACATCACCGCGTCATAGATCTACATTCCTAACTCTTAGTAACTGGGACTTGGATCTCTTGTTGTTTAAGTTTGCAGGGCTGATATCCAAGATATATAGTGGCTTGCAAAAGTATTTGGCCCCCTTGACCTTTTCCACATTTTGTCACATTACAGCCACAAACATGAATCAATTTTATTGGAATTCCACGTGAAAGACCAACACAAAGTGGTGCACACGTGAGAAGTGGAACAAAAATCATACATGATTCCAAACATTTTTTACAAATAAATAACTGCAAAGTGGGGTGTGCATAATTATTCAGCCCCCTGAGTCAGTACTTTGTAGAACCACCTTTTGCTGCCACTGTAAGTAGGTGGGATGCACTATATATTCTGCAACATAGCATCCTCCTCAGAGTAGCATACACATTTTTCTAAAGCTTCAACAACAGCTGCTGTCTGTCTGTCTTTTCCAGCTTTCTCAGTGATCCAATGATGGAGCTTCAGAGATCCCTCGTGTTGCCATTTTTCCAGCCTCACAGCTTGCTTCACTACCCCACCCACAGTCTGCTTCAAACCAGTGTGAGAACCTACTGACTGATCTGCTAACTAAGAAGCATCAGCCAAATTTAGGTGGCTACTGGATGTAGCTGGGATAATAGGAAGTCCTGATCGGGATATTGTTTATCCACTCTACTGTTCCACATTTTGGTCACTGTTTGTGGCATCCTCAGACAGTAGCAGATGCTTTCAATGTCCTCCAATCTGAGCTTAACATAATACTTTTCCTGTCCCACTCAATGCAACTAACTCTCAAAGTTTCTATAACATTCACAAAGGATTTGTATTTCCTGTTGGGTTCTCTAGTGCCACCGCCATGTAACAACAGAATGGAAACGCATTTGAACACTTCAGCATTTGAATGCACCACCAGGAAGGATTCCCAGATCTCTCTGAAACAAAAACCAGTGTGGGCGTGTGTTTCATTATGATGCATTATTTATGCTGAGGGTGTTTAAAGTCTCTGTGAGTTGATTATGGTTGTGTACTGAAATGAACTGAATCCAAAGATGCCCTGAAAGGTAGGAAAGACTGTGTAACACCCCTGGCACAGTGCTTTGAGGTATACCCTGCCCACTGACACAGTTGATGGTACACATTGTTTGTTGTTAAACATCCTCAATGTCAGACATAGCTCAGGTTTATGAGCTACACAAGCGGCGGATATGTGTGCTCACCTTTTTTCCTGTTGAAGGCGCGGTTCATAGTGGAAACTGTGCGTCTCTGTGGTCCCTCCTGAATATCTGCCAATATTCCACCTGGAAAAGCAGCAGGGAGACGCGAGTTAAAAATGGTTTCCACCACAAGCATTCAGCAAAAGACAGAAAGTCGAAAAAACAAACAGTCTAAAGTTTTCTTTGAAAAAAGAAAAGGAGAGAATAATCCCACCCTCTTAGAGTGAGGCAACCATTTGCTGTCAGAAAGTGTAAAAATTTAACTCTCAGTGTCTCTGCGTTACATTTGTTTACCATGGAGCCACGTCATTCTCATCTCATCTGTGGTGTCTTTAACAGAACTCACTGTTCTTGCTGTTTAACGGTACAAGGTGTGTCTAAGAATGGCAATTTGTACCAAAGGGAAGCAACAAAGCTGCACGGTAAAACGCTGCATTGTTTACCATGATCCTCTTACAGGCGCTGGCATTAATGTTCAAATCTTTTCAGCAGAACTAGGGCAAATTTTTCAGCTAAGCAAATGCACACATACACACGTTTGTTTGTTTAGCTGTTACTAATCATCTCCAGGTTTTTATTACATTACAGAAAGACAAAGAACCAAAAGGATTTGAGCAATACTGATAATGGATAAAGTAAGGGATGATGTGAAACATGGATAAAAGTCAGATTTCATCCTTCTTTCTTTAAACCTACTGTAGCTGCAGTAATGCATGCGGGATGCGTCCAAACAGACAAACTGTACAGCACATTGACATTGCTACCTCGCAGAAACAAAAGTAGTGATTTCTTTTGGGAATGCAAAGCATCCACCTCCACAATGTCTCCAAATGTGACACTGCTTTGACTGCTTCTGAGCTTTTGCATCAGTTCCCCATGAGAGCCCAGCTTTGGAGAGGACTGCAAGGACAAACTGTCCAGAACCAGGTAGCTGTCAGCGACCCGCACAATCATAATTCTTTACACATTTGCTGGTGGGAAATGTGCAAGGACTGGCACACAACAGCTCTTTCAATCTTTGCCTCTACAAACACATTATACGGGCTATAAAGGAAATGAACACAACTTTCCCCTCTCTTACATTTACAATGCAAATACTGAGCTATTAAAAGTTTGGGGTTGATGAAACAACAAATCTTGTACAAGCTGCTAAATTTCAACATGATCCAAGCTGACACATTTTTTAAAAAAGGGTTTGGTGTTTGCTCTCTACAAGGAACATCCTAGAATGGCCAATGAAATTAATCATTTTTCTTGTTAGCTGTGACACATAAAAATGTCTATTAAGCGTATTAAATCTCAGTTATGTCATTCATCAACTGATGGATAGAAAACACCCCGCTGTCCAAACAGCCCATTCTTGTAAAATGTCATGTGACTTGAAAGATTCGAGGGAATTTCCTCAGAGCTCAACAAATAAATGATTAACTTCTTAAACAGACATTTTTTAAAATATTTTTAGAACGCAATAAGAACCAGATGGGTTTTTTAAAGAAAATTATGTTATGATACATGAACTGCTACAAATGAAAGAGCGTGCTTTCATTTTCACAGCTGTGAATGTGAGCTGCAAGTTGTGTGTTAGAGCTGTGAGGCAGTGTTTACCATTTTCTTCTGAAAAATGACTTATGAATTGTTTTTGTATGATTAATTTATTGCAAAACTTGGCAACTTAGTAGCTCAAAAAGCATCATCCAAAAGAACCCAGACAGTCAGAGGAGACTGAAACACAAACACTGCTTATTAGACCCAATTCAAAACACAGAGGATGTGAGCGGAGCTAAACCCAGAGACAGACAATAGCAGCACCGTGATTTGGCACAAAGCAGCCAGGCTCTAATATGGAGGCACATATCGATTCACGGAACTGACACCCGCAGCTATGAAACATATACTTTGGCCTCAGAACAGTTGGGACTTTGTCAGAATGTTTATGTGATCATTTGTAGAAAACTTCATTCAGCAGTTTGGTTAGCTTGGTAAAATGTAACCAAATAAGACCTCAGTTTAGGTGGTTGTTACTTTGGCCTCTCTGCCATTACCTCCCTTCATCAGCTCCCACTGCAACAAACTCTGACGATGTTTATGTTCATCGGCAATTGTGAACAAATGACGACATTTATAAAATGGGTTATAATATGAATACAATTATCAGCCAATACTCCATAGGGCTGAGAAATAAGATTAAAAGTTAAGCGTTACAAAATGAATCGATCACCGCGACATGGGAGGGTAACGGATCATTAGCTCTGACTGAGGCTGTGTCTGAGTCTCATATCTTTATTACCGAGGGGAGAGATTCTGACAAACAAACAACATCGTTTTGAAAAGAAGACTCATCACTGACAGAAACCAACGCATTTCTGAACTCGCATTTAACAGACTGAAAAATGAAACACTCTAAAGTGCACATAATGAGGAACATAATGATGTGAGGCACATCACTGAGGGGAAAACACACACAATGTAGTGGGGTCTCGCTGTAAGGGGAGCTTTTTTTTTTTCCTCTGACAGAGGCCCTGGAAAAGGTTGTAGAAATTTTTAAATGGAACAAGCTTCAGGGTGGAGACTCTGACATTCCTCAGTCAGCTAGAAGAGAAAATCGACTGCTGAAAGAGACCGACGTGTTCTTGCTTAAGCCACACATGATGCCGTTGCAAGCATCACATAGGCAGGTGAACCGCAAGGACACTATTATTATGTGCATTTAGCCAAAGGCGACAGGGAAAGCAAACTCTCCAGATCTCTGCATCAAACTTCTTTGCAGTATTTGGTTTGCCAAATTAAGACCTTGGCAGTCGCTGCTTTGCTACCTGGGACTGTATATTTAGATTTAAGTGCATTCTTACCTTTCTCTTCGAAGCAACAGATATGTGTTTGCTGCAGAATAAAACTGTCTTAAAAGACTTATCTTCCTTTTAATGGTTTCTGGTATTTTGATAGCGTCAGTATGGGTTGTTTTAGTTTTAGTTTTTTTCCATTCAAAATTGGGGAGAGAGCAGCAGAAAGTATGAGGGGGTGTGAGCCATCGAGAGCATAAAAAGCCTTTTTAACCTAAAGCAGGACTCTGGAGGTGTAGTACACCTGGAAATTAAAGATAAAATAGACTTGAAAATTACAAAAAACATGCTCCCACTGGAAGCTGTGTTCTACCCTTTGCTTTTCCTTAAAAGCACAATAAGGGATACTGAAGCCCAAGAAAATTTGTAAGAACAAATGATTGGAAAGACTGGATACATGGATCCAAAAGTGAACCATTAAAAAGACACAAAAAAAAAAAAAAAAAGGACGGAACTGGCCTGAATCCATAATCGTGCAGAGTGGTTTACACGACCTCCCTAAAAGTCACAGCTAAGAGCTTTAACGTCTTAAAACAAAGATTGCCTCATTCTGGCATCCACAGTGGAAAAAGGCCTGGCAACCTTTTTGTTTGTTTGTGACATACTTGGACGTAGTGCAATGGTTCACCTGACACTTGACTGTGATATCACTCATTTTGATTGACAGCTGAAGTGTCGTGCCTGTTTTAATAGCTTCCTGTTTGCTGATTCAACAGCACCTTCTCGGGAGGACGGCAGAACCCGGATCTCTCTCACTCTCTCACACACACACACACACACACACACTGAGCTGCAAATGTCGTCAGTCTTCTTAAATGTTTACCAGCTGCAGAGGAAGCACCGTGTTCTTCTGAATTCCTCAACAACAGTCCACTCTATACTCACTTCAATGGTCAATTAAGAAAGAATTAATAGTATTAAGACTAACAAGAAAAGCAAATGAGCACATATGTCAATAATTAAATGGCAATAAAAGCCCAGAGAGCCTTTACATTGTACTGTAACACACACGCACGC